CGGGAGGTTGGCCCTGCCCGAGCCCTCCAGCCATCCCTTCCCAGACCTCCCTTGTCCTTTTGGGTGCGTAGCCCGTGGTGGAGCCGTTCCCAAAGCCCCACGAAGCTGGGGCAGGTGCTGAGAAGCCAAAGCAGATGCCCAGCTCTGCCGGCGGGGGCCCTTTCGGGGTAGCTGGCAACAGGCCGTGCTGACTTTTCCCCCTTGGATCGGCTCTGAGGCCGGGAGGTGTTGGTGCACGTGCAGCACGTGGACTTTTGATGTACATGTCGTGTTTTATTGTGAAAGCAGCAGGGGGGTTGCAGCAGCAGTTTGACATTGCACCACGTGGCTCTGCAGTTGTCAGCTGCCCCCTCGTGCTCTGGGGGGCGTTTTGGGGGCCTTTTGTCCCTTTTGGGGCCATCACTTGTGTCCACTGGGGTTGTCGAGCGCCCATGAGAAGGCACAGAGGTGCAGCAGTGCTGCTGGGGTGATGCCATTCATGTGTTCTCCATAGCCCTCACACTTGGGAAGCTTGAACAGTTAAATCCCTTTTTTATGGGGGGACTTAAAAGGTGAAAAAAGATCTTTTGTTTTCTCTTTTAGAAAGACCAAAGCACAACTTGAGAGCCTGTGACTGTGACCATTAATTACAAATTAAAATAAGATTCAAGTGGTGAGTTGGAAGGACAGCTCAGTGACAGAATCCCTGAGTGCCTGGCATGGCAGGGATGTGATGTGCAGAGGACTCTCCCGTGTGGCATAAATCTGCCACTGCACAGTGATTGCTTTGTACTGCAGCAAAGTGGATGTAGGAAGATGTGGATTGCCAGGGATGTAGGAGGAAACCAGTGGAAATGGAACTCAATGTAATCCTCTTTTCCTGTTAACTGTTCTGTGTCCTACGTGGGTGCCCATTGAAAAGTCTTCTATGAAAGGTGAGAAGCCAAACAAGAGAAAAAAGAAGAATCTTTGCTGTGACTACACTGCAGACAGAAGCACCCAGGAGACAGCATTTCTGAGCATAAATAGTTGATCATGTAAATGATCAGCTCTTTACAAGTTGCATGTTTAATGAACTCTTATCCAAAGGGAGCTGGTATGGGCAGGAGCAGTGTGTCTGTCATGAGGGGCCATGTCCCAATCCACTTCCTCGGCCCCACGCTGTGTCCAGGCCCATCATGCATAGACACAAATCTTTGCCACAAACAGAGGGGAAGTGTTGAACTCGAGACTTCTCACCACAAAGCCACTTCCTTCCTGAAAGCCAGCGGTGAGCTGCCACAGGCGCGACCCTTCTAACACTCTCTGCTGCTTCTCCTTCTCTTGGGCTTTGATAAAGTGCTCCCAAGCAACAGAAGGATTATTTTATTGCAGGTTTTCTACTTTATATTTTATTAGCCTAGATGAGTTGCCAAGGGCTTGTTTTCAGCACTCCTGACAAAGGATTTTCCCTGTGAGGATTGTGGCTGAGGCTTCCCTACCGAGGCACAGCGCAGATCTTGTAGGGCTGTGGGGCCATCGTGATGCCCATCAGGGGCTGGAGGCTGAGTGTGGTGTCCGGGGGTGCCTGGAAGGTGAATTTCTGGAGCAGAGACGTGAAGAAGAGGAAGAGCTCGGAGCGGGCCAGCACCTCGCCCAGGCAGGCGCGCTTCCCTGCGGAGACAGCAACCCACGGCATCCTCAGACTGAGCTTTTGCTGCTGGAAATGCTTCTGCCTTCCCTTAGGACCACAGTCCATCATGCAGTTGGAAACCCAAGACCACTGCCTCAGCACAATTCAGCAAATCTTACCCACAGAAAATGCCAAAAACGATTCTCTTTTCCAGAACTTCCCATCCTTCAGGAAATGCCCTGGGTTAAAAGTGTCGGGGGTTTCCCACTCATTCTTGTCAAACATCACAGAGGTTATATTTGTCAACAACATAGTGCCCTAACAGGAGAAAAAGAAAAATAATTCACACTTTTGGTGGCACTGACAGCAGGAAGGGCAGTTTTATCTTCCAGTCTCTCCATGAAGAACATGCAGAATCAAATTGTACTGCAATTATTTGTCTGACAACCCCTCCAGGGCCAGGGTCCCTTTGGAGGTGCAGTGATTCTAGAACCATGTTCTCCCCTCATCAGCATCACTTTTGTCTGCTGTAATCTTGGGCCAGAGTTCCTGTAAGAGCCCTGTGAGATGGGATCTGTGCCTCAAAGGTGTGCCGGGGGGGGTGTGGGACCCTGCAGGGCTCTGCCCCCTTTGGGGAGCTGAAGAATATTGGTTGGTTGGATGGCAAAAATGCACACTGAGCAGGGGTGAACTCTGGACAGGGCAGGGACAGTGTGTCTGTGCAGGAGGGAGCTGGCCTGGTGAATCATGCCTGGGGAGCTGGGAGTCTCCCTGAGGTCCCAGTGCTCAGGGTGAGCTTACTTTTGGGATGAAGAAGCCATCCAGGATCGTGTCCTTTGCTGCCATTCTTGGCCCATTGAAAGGGATAATGTTGGCTTTCCTCTGCACCTCGTGGATGACGGCGTTGGTGTAGGGCATGTTGTTCCTGTCCTCCAGCNTGGATAGGTTTTGCAGCCCAACGTGAGGTTCCCAGTGAGGACATTGGCATTACAACACAGGCTGCCCCCAAATTGCATAATATTGCAAGGGCTTGACTGTTTAATACAGACATGCTTCTGCCCTGGTGAAGGTGTTTCTGGGGTCTCTGGAATTATCAGGGATTTTTATTCATCCTCATCTCCCTTCTCTGCATTTAAAAAGAGAGACAAGAAAGGGGTCTGAGTGTGGTTGTGGTGCTTTGGGACAACCATGTGGTCACTGTTTGAGCGGCACCGCCCGACTGTATCTGCCCTTCCCTTCCATGCAGTTGGAAACCTAAGCCTGGTGACTGAACACGAAAACACCACATGATTCAGCAAATCTTACCCACAGAAAATGCCAAAAACGATTCTCTTTTCCAGAACTTCCCGTCCTTCAGGAAATGCCCAGGGTTAAAAGTGTCGGGGGTTTCCCACTCATTCTCGTCAAACATTACAGAGGTTAAATTTGTCATCAAAACAGTGCCCTAAGAGGAGGAAAAGAAAAATAATTAACACTTTTGGTGGCACTGACAGCAGGAGGGGCAGTTTTATCTTCCATCTCCATGAAGAACATGGAGAGTCAAATTCTACTGCAATTATTTGTCTGACAACCCCTGCAGGGTCAGGGTCCCTTTGGAGGTGCAGTGATTCTAGAACAACGTTTTCCCCTCATCAGCATCACTTTTGTCTGCTGTAATCTTGGGCCAGAGTTCCTGTAAGAGCCCTGTGAGCTGGGATCTGTGCCTCAAAGGTGTGCTGGGGGGGTGTGGGACCCTGCAGGGCTCTGCCCCCTTCAGGGAGCTGGAGAATATTGGTTGGTTGGATGGCAAAAATGCACACTGAGCAGGAGTGAACTCTGGACAGGGCAGGGACAGTGTGTCTGTGCAGGAATGACCTGGCCTGGTGAATCATGCCTGGGGAGCTGGGAGTCTCCCTGAGGTCCCAGTGCTCAGGGTGAGCTTACCTTTGGGATGAAGAAGCCATCCAGGATCGTGTCCTTTGCCGCCATTCTTGGCACGTTGAAAGGGACAATGTTGGCTTTCCTCTGCACCTCATGGATGACGGCGTTGGTGTAGGGCATGTTGTTCCTGTCCTCCAGCACTGGCTGCCGAGCCTGTCCGATGACGGCGTCGATCTCGGCTTGCACACGGGCTGGTGGGAAAGAGCTGGAATCAGCCAAGGCCCAAGGACAAAAACCCTTGGAACAACACAAGGTTGTTGCTGTGAGGGTCCCCTAAGGACTAACCTGGAACACCTGCCACTGTTTGCACCTCTTNTGTGAGGGATAAAAGGAAGGGAAACCCTGACCTTTTGCTACTTGTACCTTGAATTTCTGGATGTAAGGCCATGAAGAGCAGAGCCCAGCGGAGGGTCGTGGAAGTGGTCTCAGTTCCTGCAAACATCAGGTCGAGGGTGCAGGCAACGAGATGTTCCTCCCGGAAGGTGTCACTGCCCTTGTCCTTCACAAAAAGGTGTGTTAGTGCTGCAGGAACAGTGAGGGCTGTCCTGACACCAGGCTTAGTCCAAACCACACAAGAATTTCGGCAGGAGCTGCTGGCCCCCTGCAATCCCATCCCACTGATGGTTGCCCTCAGAGTGATGTGCATCCTAAGCTCCTAAATGGCCACACAGGTAGGTCAGCTGGAGAATGTGGGCTTGTTTCTCGTCCCTCCTCATTTCTAAGCCCTGCTGCAGAAGGCTTTGCTCTGCATTGCTGACCTTGGCTATCTCCTGCAGGTAGCTGTCGATGTAGTCCCGGCTCTCTGAGGGGTTCCAGTCCTCCTTGTGCTTGTTGATCTGCTCTTGCATGTAGCTTTTCAACAACTTCAAGTTTTTAAAAATGGTTTGGTGTGCTCCAGGGAGGAACTTCAATATGGATGGGAAAGAGTTGTACAGCTTTGGACACAAAAGGAGAAAGAAAAATTGAATAAAGGACTGAAAACCCCCACCCAAAACCCAAAAATTGAGGATCCTGCAATGCTGTGCTTGCTGAAGTGCTGGAGTTGGTGGGAATAGCTCAGCTCCAGAAGAGCAGGAATCCTTCATGAAGGAAGGACTTGTGTGTTGCCAGGTATTAGAGCAGGCAGGTTGGCAGTCAATGGGCAGGAGAAGTGATGTTGAGTGAGAGAAAGCAGCATGAGCAAGGCCCAGCTTGAAAGTAAGGCAGCAAGAAATGACAGGCCAATCCACCCTGTGCAAAGCAATAGGCAAAGACAGGTTTGGTGATGACAACACTGAGCTCTGAGGTTGACTCCAGAGAAAAAACTATGGCTGTGGGGTGTGACAGGAGGGCTGTACCTGGGCTGCGATGGTTCCATTGAGGGCAGTCGTTTCGTACATCAGCTTCAGCAATTTTTGGTAGTCTTCATCATGGTAGTCAAACCGATTGCCAAGGGTGAGGGAGCAGATGATGTTTGAAACAGCGTTAGTGAGTGTAAACTGAGGGTCAAAAGGGTTCCCTGGAGAAGGAAAAGATCAATTCTCTTCTGGTCTTCTCAGAAAAGGAGAAGAAAACACACTTGGTAAGGGTAAAATAGTAAACCAATACAAATGAAATGAGTGGTCCCAGTGACCATCCTGTGTCACTGCTTTGCTTGGACACCTCACTGCCCCCACTAGCTGGCCAAGCTTGTCTGGGAAACCCCAGTAGTCCCAGTTCTATCAAATTATGGAGATGTTTATTTCCTTTGAAAAGCAAGATCTGCAGGAGAGGAATGTCATTGGAATACATTGGAAATATCATTGTTTCTGTCACTGGAATTCCTTGGGAACATCAGTGTTTATACACACATGGTATTTCCCA